TTTTTTTAGTTTAATTTTTGCACTTGAAAACTTTCTTAAAAAAATTATGTTGTAAGTAACAAGTTATCTCGAGAAGGAATAGAATCCTATAAAGGTTGAACTTAACTTATAAAGTGGACAATAGTAAATTAAATAAATTTGTGAAGTGTTTTTTGAAATTGTAAGAGGACCAAATCAACTGTCTTCATAGTATTGAAACTTTTTATTATTAATTAATCTATTATATGTTTGAATTCACAGGACAAAGCAAGATGATGGTTGTAGAAATTAGGAAAATCTTTAGTTAAAGACTCGTAAACCTGTTTGGCTTTTTTTTAGTTCGAGGCTCTCCTCTGACTAAATACTGTAGATGTTCTGATCCCTAGAGCGTGTAAAAGTTTTAATCATTTATAAATTTCTAAAAATGATTAAAATCAGTTTTGGTAACGCATCGAAGAGAAAAGATCATCACTTCAGATAAAACAACAACTATGGACGGACTAAACATTATGGTCATCTCCGAATGCATTATGGTTGACTTTACCAAATAGTGCATGCATGATGTTTTCCATTTGTAGTTATAGACGTAAAGAGACCCAAATATGGTTCCGGATCAGTATCTTAAATGATTTCGAATTTCTTTCTTAATATTCTGCATTATGATTCAATGTAAACCGCGTATCCAGATAATTCTATATACTGTATGTGTGTCCTTGAAAATGATGAAATCTTATGAACGCCTTCTCGAGTCTGTCTCTCTTCATGCCGGGAAAAAAATACATCTCCTCCGTTGCATTAACCAGCCACCGGAGACACCAACGACCACTTTTATTCCCTCGTAATCTCTCTCGACAGAGGAAGCTTGAGTCGAGGTTTCAAAAGCTTCGTCCTCAAGGCGAAGGTTCCTTGGCAGAACGTTTTAGCTAGCTATCAGGTTTGTGATCATTTAAGTCGGTTAGCTATAGTAATACTGTATGTTCCGGTAATTTGGTTATGGTATAAGGGATGTTGCAATGTAAACATTTAAAATCCGAAATTGCGTGGTCATTTTTTTTTATCGTCTACAACTCACACACGCATTTTCAGATTTTCAACTCGAATTTTGAATTTATGAGACGGTGGAGGTAGTAATACAAACCCCGGTCAGGCCAATCTTGATTTGGTTCTGAAATTTAAAAGATGAGATCCGGCTTATTCATATGAGTCAGTCTGCCATTAACCATCAAATATAAAACACTCAGTCCTACTGAATTTGGTCATATATGGACCAAGCTAAATTTGATCCTGGTTTCATACCCCCTAAACATAAGATAGATATAATATTTTTAGCTCGCTATATATATTACATCATTATGCATGAGTTTAGGCCAAATGATATACTAGTAAGATTGTGTAAAGGACATGGTCTAATTGAATATCTATTCATAATATTGCCGATGGATAGCATAACGAATTGGTATTTCGGATCACTTGAAACGTATCACTCTGTTGAACCTTTTGAGAAGTTTCAAGAAGACGAGTTTCTAGACATTAGCCTTGTTCCTCTTCTTCAAGCGGAGTTATGGAAGGCTCAATCAAGAATCAAAGAGCTTGAGGCCGAAAAGTTTGGATCGTCACAGGAAAAGATTAGATGTTTCATAAGAAACCAAAGAAAAGAGTTGGAAGAAAACACTGATGATCCCCTTCTTGATTACTTGATGGAAAAGTTAAGCAAAGAGAGGAAAGAAAGGAAAAGAAACTAAATATGAGAACTCTAGGTTAAAGAAGAAGATTTTGGATATGAAATCATCAGTGAAGCGATTGAGAAGAAAAAGAGACACAATGGAGAAGGTGTGCGAGGAATTGGTGACGAAGATCTGTGAATTGAAGACGGAAACAAATAGACTGTGGGACGAGAGGGAAGAGGAGAGGCAAATGTTTCATATTGCTGAGATGTCGAGGGAGGAAAAGGTTAGGGTTAAGTTGATGGATGCGAATCTTGCCTTGCAAGAAAAGTACGAGGAAATGAATTGGTTTGTGGATGAGTTAGAGAAGAGTTTGGAGATGACTAGAGAAGTAGGAGGAATTGAGGAGATGAGTTTGAGAAGAGGTAAAGCTTTGATTAAGACGGCGAGATCTATGGAAGTTGTGGACAATAAGATGGATTTTGAGGGATTTGAGTTTGTGTCTGATGATGATGATAAATAATGTTTAACAACGTTCATCATAATTAAAAGTGATTAATTCTCTGATTGATTGCAAACAAAATTCGCAACTATCCTTTTTAATAAACGAATAACCTTTTTTGTTTGTTTAATCGAGATATTTGATATATTTCTAGAAAGTCAGAATAATAAAAAAAAAATCGAGAACAAACAATTTGTTAATTTTTCTTTTCGAATAATCGTATCAAAACCAAAGGAAATTTTCTTATTGACATATGAAATTTTTTTGTAAAGTTTGATGCTTCCATTTTTATCCCAAGATACATATATAGGAAGACACTCGAAACTTGCATATATGTGGCTTGCTTGACTAAACTTTTCAATATATTAACACCTGCTAACGGAACCGGTTCTGAAATCATATACACTATTACATACATTTTAACATATTATTTCCTTAGGATGAAAACGATTTAAATTAGCTGAAGACAACGTAGGACATTCTTTCAGAGCACTAATAGGCTAAATACACAATGTGAATATATGAATCCGCATCTCCAAATAGCCTACTCGTGTGATTAGCAATCAACCAATATATTGTTAAACAATATCACATTTCAAGTGTCAAGCAAATATGTGGATTCACATATTTGCTTGACGAAACTTATATATAAGCAAACATCACTGCTCCGCTTCTGAGCAGCTTGACAAGGTTGTGAGGAAGTGGATTCTTTACAATTGGTTATAAATCCGGATTAAATTGTTGGTTTGTATGAAAACAATAATTGGTTTGTTGTTTAAAATACTAAACTGATGCACAATATTTGAACCAATTAAACTAAAGACGATTACAAAACAAACAAACTATGGTGGATTACAATCTAAAGACATTATTACAAAACATAACAAACAAACAACCGTTGGGGTTGGGGTTGGGAGGAGGAGTTGGTGAGGGAGGAAGACGACAACTGTTAGGGTAAGGAGGATGAAATGGAGCCGACAGAGATCTCATGATGAT